TCACGATATTGTTGAAAGAGGAGATGTGAAGATTAGTAGAGTCTCGACGGATGCAAACTTTGTTGATCCTTTGACCAAGCCTCTTCCACGGCCTAAGCATGAGAGTCATACTGTTGCTATAGGTATTAGATTTCTTAAGATGTGATCTTGATTCTAGTGGGAGAATTTTATTTTATTATATGATGTTCATGTATACATACATTTGATTTTATTTTCAAATTAATAAAATTTGTTTTAGTATTATTTTTTATTATTAGATAATTAATTAATAGTTCCAAAATAATTTAATCATTCTTATAGGTCATCAAGTGCATGACTTGATCATGAAACCCTATAAGTGAAAAATGAGGTAAATTATAGAAGTCCCTACTCAAAGTTATTATCATGGGACATTAATAACTAAATGTGACTAGTATGTGAGGTGACTGATGACTAAGTTTAGTGAAGTCATTGATATGTTGTATTAAAGTCAATCACATAGATATGTGTTGGAGAACACAGTATTGTCTATGATAACTCTACAAGAATATTATATGAATGTCATAAGAGTTTCTCATTACAACTACAGAGTATAGTCCTTTGACCTGAGTTCATCGTGATTTCTTACATAGGGATCGGTTTGTTTTCACTCTGTCAAACATCAGCCGTAAAAGGTGATTATAAAGACAGTGATTGGACATACTATAAATTTTGTAAGGAACAAGGATGGAACAAGATGGGATCGTCCCTCCTATATAACAGGAGATAAGTATCTTTGGGCCTATCGAAGATTTGATACTGAAAATGCATGGCCGTGCTCAAACATGGTGAAAGTCAGTTGTTTGTTTAATCAGTAAAAATCGGAGTTCGATAAACGTGATCTAGCTTAATAAGGATGAGGCAATTTCTTGCCTTATGCTAAGATCGAGATACAGAGACGAAGGGATTATAGGAATAGATGATTCCAGTACAAGTAGGAGATTGTTGAGAATGTCCTGAAATCATTTGTACTTACTCTAGAAAGTTAAAATGTCAAGGTTTGATAATCGTATAATATTAGATGGTTATAATGTTTGCTAGAAACCACTTGTAACTTATGGGTCTAAAAGCCCATTACTAATATTATGCGATCCTATTGGGTCACACACCTAACCAAGTTAGATCTTTAATAAATTGGATTTTAATAATCATACA